GGAGAGGGTAAAGCCAGAGTGTTCCCTGGAGTCAAGGATTTTGAAGCTTCGTCTGACATATTTTGGGCATGTTGCAAGGAGGGACTGGTCCTTGGAGAGGGACATTATGTTTGGCAGAGTGGAGGGGCGGTGAAGGAGAGCAAGACCTTTGATGAGATGGATCGATTCTGTGACTGGAGTGGTGGGAATAAGTGTGTTTGAGATGGCTAGGTTGGCACAGGATAGAAAAGCATTTAGAGCTCTTGTACATAGGGTCGCTATGAGGCACAAGCAACTCGATGGCACATAACAACAACAAATTTTATAGGACAGTACCCATTTTTCTCCCACAGAACAGCTGGTGTTTTCTGACAAGTGCTTTTGGGTGAGGATTGTAGCTCTCTACTTTTAAGACCACCAGAATTCCCTTCTTTCAATTTAGCCCTATACATTTATTTATTTCCTCAAATGTGTCATATTTTTCTTTGAATCCTCCTCTAGAAATTTTAATTGTGGATTAGAATTTCTTGGACTATTAATAATTATTTTTATTTTCACGCACATAAGTATGTAAATATAAGTATAATATCATATTCAGCCAATAAAAAATCCTCAATTATTTTTAACATTATAAAATTTGACAGATAATATACTCTGTCCTTAATACAACAGATTGGAAACAAATAGAGAAATCTGAAGAAATACTACAAAACTCAATCTTTAGAAAATATTTTGTGAAAAAAGATATAAATTTTATTTTTTTAAAATAGGAAACTGAGTCCAGCCCTCAGCCTTTATGAAGTCTCGGAAACTCTCCCATTATCTCTGGCTTCACTCAGACACTTTTTTAAAAAAAAATTTATTTTATTCATTTTAATGAACATTTACAGAGATTTTGGATTTCCATTCATTCATTGTTGCACTTTTCTCTCCCCACCCACCCTGCCCCCCAGTTCACTCCTCTCTCCGAAAAGTAAAAGAAAAATCCTCCCCATCCCACCCAGTACACTCCACCACACAACCTTAATTCTGACACTTTTAACAGGTGAAGCTGACTGCTGTTCTTTGCACAATCACTTCTCAGCCCAGCCCTACCCTGAGGCTGCCTGCAGTCTTGGAACCTCCTCATGACCTCTGGCTCCACTCAGACACTTTTAACAGGTGAACCTTACTGCCACTTGGTGCACAACCAATTTCAAGTCAGCAAAATCATGCCCTCACATTGCCTGTAGTCTCAGAACCTCCCCATCACCTCCAGCTGCCCAGATACTTTTAACAGGTTAACCTCATAAGGATCGGACAGTGTCCTGAACCTCAGAGAACCTAGTTCCTACACTCTGCTATATTCTGTGAGCCTTGGGACCCGAGATACATTAGAGAAGAGTGAGCTACTATTCCTTTTCTGGAGCAGTTGAACACCCAACCGAAGGTACACAAAGCAAAGACCTGTTTTACATAAGGTAGAAAGTTTAAAAAAAAAAAAACAAAAAACAACCCTATCACAGTAATGACAGAAAAGAAACAGATTATATCACAGTCTACAGAAAACCAAAATGAGATTTCACTCCATAAAAGTTACCAAAACACAGAATCAATGGATATTCTGAAGGCAAAAAATCTGATGGAATTCTCAGACATGGAATTCAAAAGAACAATGACTGAGTAAAACAAGAAGAACTGCAGAATTCTACAAGCAAATATAAGGAGGAAGTTAGAAAAACAAGACAATGCAAATAAAATAAATGGGATATTAGAAACCCTAGAAGAACAAGAGACTACAATCCAGAATATTAAGACCGGAGCCTTGGAAGCTGTCAATATGCTGGAGGGACAGATATAAACAGAATTGAAGAGAAAGAACTCAGAATGAGCAAAATAGAAGAGAGAACTCTCAGCACTGATCTGCTAGAGGAAAAAGTAGAATAAAAAAGGAAGGACAGTGAAGAAAGCCTAAGAATACTGTAGGACACCGTCAAGTAGAAAAACATGTGCATAAATGGAATTCCAAAACAAGAAAATACATTGATAAAGTTGTGTGGAAGAGTTACTTGAAGAGGCCTCTCCAGGAATAATGAAGAATGAGAGAACATACACAGAAGAAGTTGAGCAAATTCCATTTAGGATGGACCCCACAAGAAAACTCCCAAAGCATGTCATAATTAGATTCACCAGAATCAAAGATAAGAAGAGAATTCTGAAGTGGCTAGGAGAAAATGAAGAGCAACCTATGAGAGAGAGAAAAATTAAGTTTAAAGTAAGTATCTCAGCAGAAACTATGTGAGCTAGAAGACAGTGGAAAGATATATATTAAACACTCAAAGAAAATAACTTTCTAACAAAATTACTGTACCCAGCAAAACTGTACATCAAACATGAGGGAGATTAAGATATTCTGAGAAAATCAGAACCTAAGGAAGTTGGTAAAAACAAGACCAATACTGCCAGAAATACTGAGGGAAGTACTTCTTATAGAGATGCCACAGAAAGCAGAATGGACCAAAGCAACCAGCAACACCACCAAAAAGAGCACAACAAAATGATAGAAATAAAGCCTTGTGTCTCAATAATTACACAGAATGTTAAAATGCACCAGTGAAGAGAAAAAGAGCAGAAGATTGGATTTAAAAAAAAAAAACAAACACAACCCAGAACACCATCAATATGTTTTCTACAAGACACACTTAAAAAGTGAAGATAAAGATAGACTAAAATCAAAAGGTAGAAAATCTATACCAAGCAAATGGTAACCAGAAAAAAGCAGGAGTAGCAATATTAGTCTGTGATAAGATAGATTTCAGCATAAAAACTATCACAAAGAACAAGAAAGGGCATTATAGAATGCCAAAAGGGTCAACAGAAAAAGAGGACATAAACATAATTAACATCTATGCACAAAATTATAGACCTGGAAAACACAAAGGAAATCTTAATAGATTTTTAAAAAAAGAAATAAACACCACCACTTTATTAGTACAAAAATTCAATACACCATTGTCAAGGAAAGATTAAGACTGCTAAAAAGAAACTCAACAAAGATGCTTAATAATTAAACCATACAATCAACCAACTTGTGTGTGTGTACACACACACACAAATGCACTCCTAAAATTATGAGTATACACTCTTCTCCAGTGCACATGGAACATTCTCCAGTATTGACCATATATTATGTCACAAAGCAAGTCTAAATAAATTAAAAAGCACATAAATAATATAAAATATACTACAGTGCTACAAAACTAAACATTAACAACTAAAAAAGGAGAAAAAAACCATACATCTAGAAACTGAACAATCCTCTGCTTGAACACTGAGTGGATAATTGATGAAATAAAAAAAAAGAAACTAAAAAGTTCTTTGAAACAAATGAAAAACTTACCAAAATCCCTTGGATACAGCAAAAGTAGTACTTAGAGGTAAATTCACAGAAATAAGCAAACACATCAAAAGGGAAGACAATATAATAACAGAGTACTTAACTCAGTATCTCCAACAAGTAGTAAAAGAACAGAAAAAGCTCCCGACAAACTCTAATAGAAAGGAAATTATAAAAACAAGGGCAAAAATCAATGATAGAAAACATAAAAAGAAATGAAACTATTAACAAGACCAGGAGTTGGTTCTTTAAAAAGGTCAATAAAATTGACAAACCACTAAACAAAGGAAAAGAAAGAAAAGATGCAGATAATTTGACTAAGATATGAAAGGGACAATATCCCAGCTGAACCAAAAAAGAGAAAGAAAAAAAATTAATAATAGATACTGTAAAAAAAATTTACTCAAACAGGTTTGAAAACCTAGAGGAAATGGACAAATACTTAGAAACTCATAACCTACCCAAAGTGACACAGACTGAAACAGAACACCTGAACAGACGCTTAACAAAAGAAGAAATTGAACAGGTAATAAAACAAATTCCAACTAATAAAAAACCTGGGCCAGATGGTTTTAGTAGTGAATTCTATCAAACATTCAGAGAAGAGCTGTCACCAATTCTATATAAAGTATTTCAGAAAATAGAAAATGATGGAATACTAGCAGACTCATTCAAAAAAGAAAAAATATACCTCATACCAAAGTCTCATAAGACATCACCAAAACAGAAAACTATAGACCAATATCTTTCATGAATACTGATGCAAAAATCCTCAATAAAATCCTGACCAAGAGAATCCAACAGTACATCAAAAAATAATTCATCATGATCAAGTGGAATTGATAACAGGTATGCAAGAAAGGTTCAACATAAGAAATAAATTAATGCAATTTATCACATTAAAAAAGTAAAAAATAAAAACCACATAAGCCTATCAATTGATGCAGAAAACGCTCTTAAAGACTGAATTTGAAAGAAAAGGATTTTGCATTAAAACCAACCAGTTGCTGTTAAGTGAGTTAGGACTCTTGGTGACCTCCATGTTTCTGAGAAATACTGTGCTCCTTAGGGTTTTAACTGATTGTGACCCTCTGGAAAGTTCATGGAAAGGACTCTAACTTCTAGCCTTTCAGTTAGTAACCAAGTATAAAACCTTCTCTACCACTCACAGGTTTCCTAGCAGTAGTGGCATTCACTTCCTAAGCCACATGCCTCTGGAAACTCTATGAACTTTGATAAATGATGATAGTTACAGAAAGGTGTCAGCCCTTTGGTTCATAGGATCACTATGAGGCATGCTTGACTCAACGGCAATCAACGACAACAGTTTATGTCTTGCTCAGAGAGAATGAAAGTCCTGTAATTATTTTCCTTACCGAAAAACCAACATCACCAACAGCAACCTAACACTGTTAGCATCAGTTGAAACAGGTTGTTCTGAGCATCTGCTAACTGACTTTAGCAGAGACCACAGAGATAAAGAAACTTCTACTACTTTCCCAGGATACTCCATGAGTCTCCCACACAAGAATTTTAATTTTGTTAAATGATAAAAAATATACTGTCACTTTACCTGGGGGAAGTTTCCCATTAGTTACATTTAAAAACAGCAATTTCCTCTAATCAATCACATGTTGAAACCTACCTCGAATTCTGCATGTCTGTGAATATCCTCAGCTCTCTGTCTGCTCAGGATGAATTCAGCTTCATTTGCTACCCTTACAAGATGATCCTTCATTGTTTGGCTAAGTAATCTGTAGAAGACAATATGGTCAAATAAATATATGCATATACATATCTAATATTTTTTTATTATTCCATGGTCAAATATGTTTTAAAGTTTACTGAGAGGTGAAAAAGGAAAAAAGAATATATGCTCTTGTCATACGAAATCATATCCAATAAAGCACCACTATTTAAGAATAATGGAAAAATATAAGAACAAAAGTTAAACTTATACCAAAATAACTCCTAAAATACCGATAATCCCATCAAAACAAACAATAAAAGTCCCCAAAAGACAAAACTACTTGATGAAATTTATTTTTAAAGGTAATTAGGGCACTCAAGACAGCAAGATTTAAGAAGCCATTATCATGAAAATTAAAAAGAACAATGAAAACATTCTGCATGACGTTTCACATCCCGAAAATGGTACTCCAAGGTGATAATTAAGTTTTTTCAGTCTCAACAAAGTTTAGGTCTGGCGTATTGCATCAATTCAGGAACTCATTCACAGTTCAAGCTTCACACACTTCACTCAAATAACACTACAGTTTTTGCATCTTACATTAAATAGCAGTCAAAAAAGTTAAGCAAACCTTGAGAAACTCACAGAATGGAAAGATAGAGGGACTGTAAATACCAATTAAGGGAGCTCCAAAATTTCTTTTTATTAAAAGGACTCAAAAGAGTGATATGCCAGGAGTATGCAAACTGAAAATGGAGGAAATCGGGGGAAAACCTAAAACTACCCTTAAATCAAATCAGAAATCTCCTTCTAGATTCCATATGATGATAAGTAAAATGGAAATTTTCTCCATGAGCAAAGAGCCAACAAACTAAAATTTACCTCACAAAATTACAAAAACAAATTTCAACATTAAATCAGCAATTTATAGATATAACAATATAACAAGTACCAATGTTCAAAAGACTAGATAAACTACAGGTTGTTGTTTCTTGTTAAGTGCTGTCGAGTCGTTTGTGACTCACAGCAGCCCTACAAGAGCCCTAAACCCTGTTCTATCCTGTACAAACCTTATTGTTTCTGACACACCTAACCCCATGACCGCAGTTATTGAATCGAACATCTCATCAAGGTTCTTCCTCTCTTTAGCTGTCCCTCCACACTCCCAAACATAATGTCCCTGTCTAAGAACTAGGTCCCTGCTTACAATATGTCCAAAGTATGTCAGATGAAGCTTCAGAATCCTTGCCTCCAAGGAGCAACCCAGTTTCACCCTCTAAAGGATGAACTTGTTTGTTCCTCTCGCAGTTCATGGAATATTCAACACTCTTCTCCAGAACCACAGCTCAAAGGCATCAATTCTCTTTCATCACTAGTCATTATCCAGCATTCTGACTCATAGTAAGAAAGTGTAAAGACTATGGCCTGGATCAGGCGCACCTTAGTCTCCAGACTGATGTCGGTGCTTTTCCGTAATCTGGAGAGGTCCCTAGCAGCTGACTTTCCCAATGCAATTCGTCTCTTGATTTCCTGGCTGCTGGCACCAAGAGTGTTGATTGTAGAGCTAAGCAAAGTAAAACTGTTAACAATCTCAATTTCTTCACTATCCACACTGATGCTGCCAATTGGCCCAGTGATGGGAATCTTTGTTTTCTTGATGTTGAGCCTCAATCCATATTGAAGGCTGCAGTCCTTAACCTTGTGTAGCAAGCATTTCAGGTCCTTCTCAGTTTCAGCAAGCAGGGTTGTGTCATCTGTGTAACGCAGGTTGTTGATCATTCTTCCACCAATCCTGATGCCACATTCCTACTCGTACAGCGCAGCACCCCAGATGATCTGTTCTGAATACAGACTGAAAAGGTATGGAGACAGATAACATCCCTGGGGAGCACTCTTTCCAATTTTACACCCTGCATTTTCTCCTTGCTCTGTTCTGCAAAGTCATTACAAAATGAAGGGACAAGAGGAAGAAAAACACCACAATGGATGTCAGATGACACTATGAATATTGCATTAGATCGCTGAGAAGCCAAAGCTAAAGGGGGGAAAAAAACACAAGAAATTAAGGAGCTGTACAGAAAATTCCAAAGGCAGCTTGGGAAGACCTAGCAAGGTATTATAATGAAATGTGCAAATACCTGGAGTCAGAAAATAAAAAGGGCTAAACTCACTCAGCATTTCGTAAGTTGATGGAATTGAAAAACAAATTCAAGCCATGAGTGGCAATAAGTAAGGATGCTTTGGCAGAATATTAAATGATCCAAGAAACATTAGAAGAAGATGGAAGGACTATATATTAAATGATCCAAGAAACATTAGAAGAAGATGGAAGGACTATAGCGTCACTGTACCAGAAAGAATTGGATGACAAAGAAGAATTTCATGAAATAACATATGAGCAAGAGCCTATAGTGATGAAGCAGGAAGTTCAAGCTGCTCTGAAAGAACTGGCAAAATAAGGCTCCCGGAATTGACAGCATATTGATATGTTTCAACAAACAGATGCTGCCCTGATGTGCTTACTAAGTTGTGCCAAGAAATCTGAAGGACAGCTACCTAGCCAACTGACTGGAAGAGATCAATATTTGTTCCCATTCCAAAGAAAGGTGAACCGACAGAGTGTGAAAATTATCAAACAATATCACTAATGGCATATGCAAGCCAGATTCTGCTAAAAATTATCCAAAAATGACTGGAGTAACATGTCAACAGAAAACTGCCAGATGTGCAGGCTGGGTTTAGAAGAGGCCATGATACTAGGAATATTATAGCAAATGTTAGATGGATCGTGGCTGAAAGGAGAGTACCAGAGGAATGTCTATCTGTGCTTCATATTCATAGACTATGCAAAGGCTTTTGACTGTGTGGATCATAACAAAATGTGGCTGACTCTGAGAAGAATGGGAATCCCAGAATATTTGACAGTGCTTATGTGAAACTATAGATCCACATAGAAAATAAAGTTACAGAACTGTACATTAATAACATTAATTAATTAGGCAGCATATTGCACACTTAAAAATTCTACTGGAGAATAAAACTTATAGAACTTTAGGACATAAAAAATATAATTAAGAACTAAAGTTCTTGATAAAAGCTAAGTTGGCAAAAGAATTCTATCTCTATTCCTAGGTGCTGAGTTATAACCTCTAAAATCCTGCAATCTTTTGAGAATTATTTGACATGATATGCTAATGAGGTGACTCATGGCTAAAAAATGGCACAGCCAGAAAGATCCATTTCATTGTAATTTATGTGGAATCAACTCAGAGGTTTTTGAGAGATTGATCCTCCTGTGAAGCTTCCATCTTCTCCAAATCCTGCCACCAGAGCTCCCTAGCCATGTTGTCGTCATTATAAACAGATTCAGTGCTCACCTTCCAGTTGGTTTTAAGAAGCTATAAATCTCATTGTGAGAGACTGTCCATTTTTTTCCTCTCATGGGAGAGCAAGTGGATTTGAACTGCTTGCCTGTGAGTAGGTCACTCAACTCTTTACCACGAGGCCACCAGAGTTTCCTACATATACTAGCAACAATTCTAACACCTATCCTTACTTAATGAAATTTAATAAAACATGTGGACACTGAAGCTTCCTTTTTGGTAAAAACACTGATGCTCAAAATGGTAATAAATTTTTCAGAACACAGAAGCTACATGTTAGGAACTATCCCAAACCTAATCTTAAGTGTCTCTTCACTGGTACCTTCTTTGTTATAATAGATCTATGACTTTAAGTATACCACTTCCTCTCAGTTTTAGGTATCATTCTACCAAAGTATCAAATCAAGAAGAAAATAACTGAAACTCACAAATTCATAATCATCAAATCACAATAGAAGAGGACTTGTTTTGCCAGTCAGAACCAGTTGGTTTTCAAAGACAGTTAATCACATGGGAGGGGACTGGGCATCCCTCTTCTGTGAGCAGCAGGTGGATTCAAACCACGTGCCTTTTCGATTACAGCATAAGTTCTTATCACTTAAGGATTTCTAAGTTCCTTGAGCTTAAGATATGCTGAGCGAGTTCGGCCCTTTTGATTTTCTGACTCCAACTCCTTGCACATTTCATTGTAATATTTTGCTTCGTCATCCCGTGCTGCCTTTTGAAATCTTCTATTCAACTCTTTAGTACCTTGAATTCTTCTGTTATCCTATTTTTTCAGGAGAGTGTTGAGACCAGATTACCCAACTTTAGTCATTTCTATCCAGTGGAGGTACAGTCAAGTTCCTTCTGAGAACTTCAGTGTCTGTTTGTACTTCTTGAGAGTATATTTGAAAGTCTTAAATTCTTTCATCTGAAACATACTGCACCTTTCATTATAGTTGTTTATACTACTGTAAGGTACTGTTTTATAATGCCCAATTAAAAATGGATAACTAGTAAAACATGTATGGAAACCCAGAGGGTGAGAGCAAAAGGGTGAGGACGGGTAGGGACGCAAACCACAGGGTTGCACTTTTTGGTAGGGGAGAGACAGATGGAGAAAACAGGAAGGATCCAGGTAAAAAGGTTAATGATGGCCAAGGTCCTATGGTGATTAATTTTATAAAACATAATACATGGGGATGATTGTATGAAACACAATGTGAACAAAGAATAGTGTGAAACACAATTTATACCAACTTTGTAAACAAACTAAAATAAAGTGGGGAAACAACCCAAAACATGCTGAAGTAAGGATTATAGTGCAAATTAACTCTGGGAAAATAAGCTATGACAAATAAATTTGACGATGAAATGAATAAGCTAATATATTCTCAGAGAGAAAGAACTGTCCAGAGTACCTTCTAATTTTATTAAACTTGTAAGGTAAAATTGATATAGTATTAAACCTATGTGACCAGTGCTTTCTGAAAAAGGACTAACTCTTTGAGTATGAACGCAGACAACGTAAATTTTCCTTAAATATGTAGGAAACAAAAGATGAACCCATGTTCTGGTTCTATGCGGAACTCTGGGGTTTCGACTCAGGCTTGGGACTGAATGTCTTGTGTGGATGCCTGCTTGTTCATGAAGCCAGTGGAATTCTGGGAGAATGGACGTTACCTGATTTGCACAGTAC